AGAATGGAATGAAATTATCTTTACTGACGAGTCACGCTTCTGTCTGCAACACCACGATGGTCGTATTCGAGTCTGGAGACACCGTGGAGAGAGGATGCTGAACAGCTGCGTTATGCACCGCCACACTGGTCCTGCACCGGGTACTATGGTATGGAGCGATATTGGATATCACTCTCGCACTCCTCTAATACGCATTGCCGATACTTTAAACATCCAGCGCTACATCTCCGAGGTGTTGGATCCACTTGTCCTTCCTTACCTTCAGGGCTTGCCCACAGCCATATTTCAACAGGATAATGTGCGACCACACGTGGCACGCATTGTCCAAAGGTTCTTCATCAATCGCCAGATTGAATTGCTTCCCTGGCCGGCTCGCCGTCCGGATATTTCGCCGATAGGAAACATGTGTTCCATGGTTGCTGAACGATTGACCCAGATTATATCTCAAGCTGCCACACCAGATCAACTTTGGCAACGTGTGAAAGCTGCTTGGTCTGTTGTACCCCAAGAACACATCCAAAGCCTCTTTGAATCAATGCCGAGGCGTGTGGCAGTGGTGATCTCCAACAATGGGGCGGCTACTCTGGCTACTGATTCTGAAAGGAACCACACTTCACAGAAGTCTATAAAATTAAATCACTTGATACTTGGTCAACATGTTATCTACTAAATGAATTTTGTTGTGATATCTCTTGTCTTTCTTGGTGTTGCAATTTGGGTGGCAAGCAGTGTAGTAAAAATAAGCCGTTTTTTTGCTTAGCCGGGTGACATAATTTAACATGGAAAAGCAAACAAGCAGAAAAGAATTTACGGTAAACAGTAGTGCTGAAATCAGATTCATTGCGGATTGTAAGAGCATCAAGGGAGGGAAGAGTATTTCAAATTCAATTTCAAAAGTGAACTGCATGCCTATATTAATCGAATTTATAACAGATAAAACCTGGAGAAAATCTTCTTTATTATCATCAAAAAGCGCTAACGTATCGTCTACGTAGCGAATGCAGAGACGAATTAGATTTCTTTACTCCTGATGAAGAGTGACCTTTATCTATTTGCCCTCGAAATCGGTCGAGTCTTGACTAAAATCTACGGGAAACACAAGTTTGTTGCGTTGCAAACTTTAAGGCTTTGTAACGTTAGTGTGAATTGCTAAGATACTTTATATATTTACATATGTATCAAACATCAAAAGAAACATTTTATAGTGTCATACTAAACTTTCCTTTTTACATTGATTTTGATGTTGTAACTCCAAAGTAGAATTTTCACTTAAATCATATTTTTCAGACATTTTGTCGACTGTTTGTTTTTTAAATTAAATACGCTGGAACATTAAAACTCTTATTTTTGATTAGAAATTAAAGCTATTATTTTTTAATATTGCTATGAATTTACCTACATAATAAAAACATGGAGGGTGTTTTTCGTGGGTGACAGGGTACATCCATACTCAGATTATTTACGTTTTATCTCAAAAGAAATTCAGAAGTTTCCGTTACGCGATACAGTATAAGGAAATAAAGATATTCTTTTATGCATATTTTTGTAGAGTAGTGCTAAGCCTATCAGACTCAGGCTTATTCTCAGTTGGACAGCGATTGATTTAGAAAACTGAAAGCCTGAAGGAAAACCTCTCAAGCAGGCATTCTCATCTAATTTGTCTCAACATGGCACGTATCTCTGATGCGCATTATGTTACGAAATTTATGACACAACAATTCTGCGTTTGTTTCATTAAAGGATATTTAAAAAATGTATTTCCCCATTTTGAACGTTTTGTTTTCATGGTTTTTGGTTTAATGTGTGTTAGATAAAATATAAGTTTATATATTTTAAATCTGGGTCTTTTTTGTTATTGGTTACAAACATTATTTAGTTAAATTACAAAGAACAAATCTATTAAATAGCTTTCTAGTTTAATATTTAAGTATGTGAATAACTTGAAGACTCAAATAATTCTGGTTTTTTTTCCTTCGCTGAAGAAATATTTTCTTCTGAAGGTTTATTTTACCACAAAAGAGAAACATGCGATCCCTGCTTTATCTGAAAACATACACAATAAGGTATAGATATCTATTACCAACGAGAGTACAAGACATTTTCCCAGCTCAGTATTTCATTTTTGAAGGAGGGCATGAAAAACGAAAATGCGGAGGTAAAACATTTGTACTTTTATATATTTTTAAGACTTAGAATTAAAAGATATATAAAATTTTAACTATTTTAAATATTTCAGGAGAATTATATCAGCTATTGAATGCGGAGGTTCGGGCGCGAGCCCTCTTTTTCTTTGATACAAGTCCAGTCCTGGATAAAGGAACAGTAAAAATTTTAAGAAATTTCATTCCAAAATTCTACTTTCTCTACAGTCTACACTGAGGCCTTATCTAAAAATAATAGACGATAATTCGTTACCAGCTCGGAATGGTCAACTGGAGGTTGTCTGTTCCATCTCTCATCCTTCAGGTATGGAGAAGAAAATGCTAGAAATTAAAGGTATACCTGTCATGTGCTATTGTGCTGCAGAGGCTAGCATATCAATCCAGCCCGTCCAGACCTTGGATTCAATTTTTGGCGATATCACGATGAATCTTTTAAGCTCCATTTAAAACTTCTAGTGCTTCTAATCATTTTCTGCGAAAGTAACAATTAATTCAGTAGCTATTTTATAGGCAGCAAAGAAAGCAAAAGAGGAAGGAAAAAATTAACAAAGCCTATAACAGGTCTTTTTTGAAGAATTCTAAATGTGCCTTAATTAATTGCAGGTGCTTTAACTTGAGAACTCGTTACATGTTCTGTTAAAGAATTTAGCAAACATTCTGTTACATAATTAATATTATTAGTTTTGATTCAGATTTCGTATTATGTTTCTCTTTTTCCCTCTACGATTGGGTGAAAATAAAATATTGTTCTGATAAAGAATGTTTATAAGTTAAAAAAAATTTCGATTTCAAAGCCTATTCACGGAAATGTAATTAAAGATATAGCTTTATGGAGCACCGGACTGCTATTAAGAAGTTTTTTCCACTGTAAATTTACATTTGAAGTAATCCACTACGTATATAGTCCTCAAAATTCATAGCATTTGAAATTTCAAAAGGTTATTTAGCCGGCCTTTGAATGCAAAAATAGCATGAAACGGTAAATTCACGAATTATATTGCTCCTATACTATTATAAGGTATTTCTCCCGTCTTCTTAGCGGCCCACCAGCGGCCAAGCGGTTACGTCGCTGAACACTGGTAGTTCGGTCAGAGGCTCGAATAACGCAAACGGGCTGGCTGCATGGGTGTTTTCGTGGTTTTCCCATGTGTAATGCGTATACGAGCCAGTTCCCCTTAAAAAGTCCTCCACGAAGGCATCCCCCTCCCTTAAGACACATAGCCCTCGAGTGCTTTGCCGTAATCTAATAAACCAAACCAAACCCGCCTTCTTAGCATGCCTTCGTAGCGTAGTGGTCAGCACGCTGGGCGCGTATTCAAGAGGTCCGTGGTTCAATTCGCGGCAAGGGCGGTTGCTCATTTTTCATCACTCCTGCCTTAAAAATAACGTTTCTACAGTGGCGCTCGAACTAAAAGGTTGGTGAATGATGATTCTCCACACCCAGGATTTGGCGATTGGGCCCCCTAAAAACATCAGTCGCCCTTTAAAAGGGGGAATATATAAGGTACTTCTCCCGCCTTCTTAACATGCCTTCCAGCACGCTGAGCGCGTATTCCAGATGTCCGTGGTTCGATTCCAGGGAAGGCGTAGCTCCTTTTTCATGACATCTTCTGCTTCCAAAAGAATCCTGATGTCGCTACACTATGCTAAATTAAGAAGTACCGAAATATTGCAGTACCTAAATTAAGAAGAAGAGCTAAAATATTACAGTAAGTCATTTTATAAAGGAAACCTGAAACTTCAATATTAAGGTGAGGGCACAAAAAACTAGAGCCAATAACGAGCGCTTTTGAATATAAACTAACGGTTCACGTTTTTGGTTAAAAAATTAATTTTCACTCAAAGTAAATATATCTGATAATTTTTCTTTAAAAATTTATAGTTAGTATCATTTATGTATGCACTCAATAATCGTAAGTACTTCAGCTGTTTTGTGAAATAAGCAGTTAAGACTAATGCACTTTTTTTTTGAAACGAAATCCTTTATTTTTTATGATTATAAGAATTAATGCTATTATAAAGAGAATGTAAAAATACCAAGAGATAATGCTTGTATTTTAATTGATAAAATTGTTACGAATTATTAAGAGGAATATTATACCGAGATATTAATTTTGAATTAAGTTGCTATGATATTGTATAAATTGCTAGTCTTTATTTTAATAAAGAACTGTTTTATACCCCTTGTGCTATTTGTTTAGTTATAAACACATGCCGTTACACATTTTATATAGAATTCACAAATGCCCTTTGGTACGCAGCTTATATGAAGTCAGAATAGTACTTATTCTCTTCACATGCACATAGTTGTATCACTCATTACCATCTTTGTTAATTTGCAAAATTTTCATACTTTAAACCTCCTAAATGAAATTGTGTGTAATTTCATTTGATATCAAATCGAAAATATGACGAGCTTTATGAATCCAAGAACTGGGGCGAAGCACAAAGAACTGACATTGTTTCAAGCAAAGCAGTGTATTCTTTTATTTGTATCAAGGTTTAAAACTCTTTATTCTTTAAGAAGGGAACTTATGCTTAAAATGTCACTGTGATTAAATATATCTGACAATTTTTCATTAAAAATTTATACTTAGAACCATTAATGTACGCACTCAGTAATCATAACGCTTACGTTGTGAGCAGTTTAAATAGAAATTTTAGGATTGCTGTTATTTATAGGATTTCTATTATTCAACTTAATAGAAAGCATTTTTAAGGAAATAGTGGGAATTTTAGTGAAGTAATCTATTATAGTATAGTTACGGTTAGAGTTAATCATAATTAATCTTCTGCTTCAAAATAATTTTAATGTCATCTGTAACACACTAAACTTACCTTGCCACACTAGGTCATTGCATACTGAACATTGAAAGTCTAGTATAGATCCATCAGGATTATATATAGCCACTATTTTGAGAGAATTGCCTGCAAATATAAAGTTAACATGCATCAAAAGTACTATAAACTCTTATTTATAAATAATACTTATTAAATTTTAACCTGCACTTAAAACACTTTATTATTTAATTTTTTACAGATTTTTAATTTTTTTGGGTAAAAACGTGCATTTAGAGGCTTGCAATTTCAATCAGTTTCCTAATTTTGATACAATCAAACTTACCTTGTTTCTGATGGAAAGCTGTGATACCAACCCTGTCTGAGTTATGAAAAGAGACTGGACCCTGGAAAAACAACCGAAGTATAATACTTAATCATAGTGGAAAGATCATTCATCTTTCGTCGTAAATAAAAAAAATTAGATAAAATAAAAGAACAGGTGCTTTTTATGGTGCAGGAGGTACTTTACTTAATTGTCTCTCTTATGAACCTTTACTTTTAAAAGAAATGATTCATGACTTTACTTACGCACTTCACTATGCTCGTCATTCCTGCCCAATAATGATCTTTATATACAATTATTATATTCTTAGTTGGAAGGCCTTTAGAAGTCGAAAAAGAATTTTCGTATCATCACACGCCAGTTTAAATTTCGTTTGAGTAGAAGACAAATGCCTTTAAACATGTTATATTTAATCTATTATTCATAAACCAATCGAAAATCTTTAATTGCTTTATAAATGAAAACATTTATTATAATGAATATTAGACTATTGTAAATGAGAAAAGTTAATGTACTCCTTTTGCAGAGTATCAATTATCTATTTTTTTATCTAATTTACTTCACAATCTTGTCCATCAGGTTCCTATACCAAAGATGGATATTAAGGAAGAATTTATGTAAATTACCTAAATCTGTAAAAAAATTAGATGAAATATCTGAATTGTAATAATTAAATAAAATGCAATGGAAAAGTGATTACTCCATACCTGATGATAGCCTAAAATGAGACGTAGTTGACAATGCGGAATTGACATTTTGAAATTCTGAAATACAATTACGAGCAACTACGCATTTGTTCCCTTTTTTTTGTAACGTCAAGTAAATCATTAAAACAATAAAATAAATTGTGTGCACAAATTTAAGAAATAATTGCTTAATTTAGAAGTCAAAAAAAACAAAAATCAGCGTTATATTTGCAAATTTTAAAAGGAATAGTTTCGATGGTTTTACCGAACCAACATCCTCAGCTGCCAAAGTGCAGATAAACGATATAAGATATAGTGATAAGCTAAGAATGGCTGAACAGGAGTTAAGCTACTGGTGCTATTTATTGATGAAACAAGAAACCTGAAGCATAATTCCCTTAAAGGCTGAAGGTAAAGGTGGATTGGAATTACGGTTGTTAAGTAGAACAGAAAGAATTTTTGCATGTGAAACGCCTCTATAAAATCTAATTCATCAATGGAAGATGTGTTTTCCATAATTTTGGCTGCAGAAAAATGGAAAGTATGATTTTCGGACCAACAGTGCTGGGCAACAGAGGACTTCCGTGTTTTCTTTCCCCTAACATATGCGTCATGTTCCTTAACGCGAAATTTTAAGGCGCTCTTAGTTTGACCAATGTACATTAAACCACACGGGCAGGTATTAATGTACTCAGAATTTTGTTGATAGGAGAACAAATGACCCAAACGTTAAATTTCTGTAAAATATTTATCCATGGATAGCTTTCTTAGTCCCATCCTGGCTGATACATGCATTATTTATGTATCTAAATTATCATCCAGTGATCCTGCTATTCAGTTTACTTTTGAACTTGAGATATGCAATTCTTCTCCGTTCCTCGACATTTTGGTCGCACGAGACACATCCAACTTCATTACTAGAGTTTACCGTAAACCTTCATCGCTTCACCACACTTCAAATCATGTTATCCGGCTAAACAAAAGTAAACTTCATTTTATGATTTCGTTTTCAGTGCACTTCAAGTTTGCTCTTCCAAAGTGGCTCTTGATCAAAAGCAAAATTATTTAAAAGCAGTAGCTTTTAACAAGGGCTTTTCAGCCAACATTATTAACCAAGCAGTTTAAAAATTCTCATCTCAATACACCAAAAGCCCCACTCTTGTTTTAGGAGATTATAAGAATTCTGTTGTCAGTCCTTTCTTTCCATCAATTAGCTATAAAATTACACGTACGTTACAGAAATTTAACGTTTGGGTTGTTTGTTCTCCTATCAATAAAATTCCGAGTTCCATACTTAAGGAGCCCATTCCGGATATGAATCCCTGGGGTATTTATAGGATTCCTTGCCAGTGTGGTTTAATTTACATTGGCCAAACTAAGAGAGCCTTAAAATTTCGCGTCAAGGAACATGAGACATATGTTAGAAAAAAGGAAACACAGAAGTCTTCTGTTGCGCAACATTGTTGGTCCGAAAATCACACTTTCAATTTTTCTGCTGCCAAAATTATTCAAAAAACATCTTCCATTGGAGAACTGGATTTTCTAGAGGCATTTCACATTCATAAAAATCTTTCTGGTCTAGTTAACGACTAGAATTCAATTTATCCTTACCTTCAGCCTTTAAATTACGTTTTAGTTTTTTTGTATTTCATCAATAGATGGCTTCAGTAGCTTAACTCCTGTTCAGCCATTCTTATCTTATCTCCTTCTTTTGCACTTTGGCAGCTGAGGACTGCCATTGAAACTAGTTGTGAAAATTTGCAAATATAACCCTGATTTTTGTTGTTTAACTTCTAAATTAGTATTTGTTCGGCATGTTATTTTACTTTAAATAATTGCTTTTTAAGCAAGCTAATAGAGGTAAAGAAATTAAGAAGTAGTAGCATAAAAGTATTATTTTAAGTGATAAAATAAGCGAAACCCTATAATTCATCACTGGATGCAAAAATAAGCATAAAACCAAAGAGTGAATACCAAATAAATAAATGCAGAAATATTGAAAATATACAACAAGGAAATTAAAAGGCATGCATCATCAGAGAAGGGATAATTCATTACACTTGACTGCGATTTTGACAATAATCTCTCATGCATTTGCGTAAGCATCTGTAACACAATGTATTTTCGAGTACTTTCGAGTAATTAATATTTTGAAACTAAAAATTTATGCAGTGTGCGTAAAGTTTCAGTTTCAAAATATTTATTACTCGAAAGGTTTCTGGTGGAAGGCTATATAAAAAAGTAAGTGTGGTAGGATGGCAAGTGAAATAAAATAATTCCAACATACTAGGACCTTACAAAATTTTTTGGCTCTAAAATCCAGAAGGCTTTGAAAAGTGTTCAAAGTATAAAATAGTCATTTTGTGCTGAATAATTTAAAGTGAAAAAATATAATTACTGTCCTCAGGCATTTTTATGTAAAATGTCAATACAAGATATGGCCACCATGTGTATATACAAATCCACAGAAAATCCACAGCTACAATACATTTAGATTGGTGAAAGACTTAATCTTTAGAACCAAAATATACTTGTACCTATCAAAGCTGTTTATAGTTCATCGATTTAACTTATTTGCGGATCGTGGCTTATTTATGTAGGTATGCAGTGCTTTAATAAAATGAGTTTAACAGAATTTTATAAACCTCTCTTCCGGTCTTTGTAACTGTGAGAGACAGTTGTGTGTTGATTCTTGACAGGCGAATGGTAAAGTCGCTGAACTCTGGTAGTTCGACATGGTTCCGTTAGAGGCAAATGGGATTGGTTGCATGGGCGTTTTCGGGATTTTCACTACGTGTGATGTGTATACCAACAGGTTTTCCCTAGGAAAGTCCTCCATGAAGGCATTCCTTGCCTTAGGCAGATAATCGTTAGTGGCCTTTAATCTAATAAACCACTCCAAATCAAGGAGACGGTACTCTAACATCTTTATTCATTATAAGGTTTTCACGTTCAAAATCTTCTTGTTAAGACACTTATATTATGGTTACAGGGAGGTTTCAAAAAAGTTCACGAAATGCTTCTTAGCGTTGTGATATATTATCAGTCTTAGGATGGAAAGAGAGGGGTCACCATAAGACTGACGAAGATGCAAATAAAAGCTTGGTTATGCCAGTAATTTTTATGAAGTGACAGGTAGGCATAACTGACAAAGTGTAATCTTTTTGCTTATTAGAAACGTCAGCTTTTAGATTTAATATACACTGGTAGAATCATTTATTTTAAATTGTTGTACGCTTAATTTATAGCCTGTGGAACAAGCCTATGCGAAATAATTTAACCCTGAAAGAAAAGGATAAAATTTGTAAAGATCACGATGTGCAGCCAAAGAAAACCTGAATTTAAACTGGTGATTTCCCAAACAGCGCTGTGCAATTTACTTAAACAGAGAACAGTAACTGGTGAAGAATTAATAAAAAATGCAAATGTTTGCGTATGAAGGAAGGCGAAGTGGACGGAAAATCCAGAGACGTTGAAACTTCTGTTCTGGAATGGTTTCAAGGTACGAAACTAAAAAAAGAATGTTCCTGTTTCTAGAACTTCTTTAACTATAAATGCTGGGGATTTCGATAAAATGATAGAAGAGAATTTTGTGTCAAGTGTGAGGGGCTCACAGGTTGACAAACATTCTTCATCGTAGAGTGCATGGTTAAGGAGCTAGCGGCAGATCATTATGTGGCTTAGATAAAAGATGTTTTACTTTGACAGCTGAATGAATGCCGTCCACACAAAATTTATAATACAGACGGAACTGATTTTGTTACAGAACATTAGAACAACATACATTGTTATTTCAAAAGGCAACAGCAGCTTATTTAAGAAACTGAAGAAATATGTTACTGTGTTATTAACGAGCAATATAGAGGAAGCAATTAAGAAGACAACATTGGTTATTGGCAAAATCAGAAAACCTCAGTGTCTGAAAGTGGACAAGAATTTATCGCTAACTTAACACAGGAACAAAAACTTATGAAAGATAAGTAATATTTTCACTGTATGTTTTTTCTTTCCTAGTCTTAAAAAAAGCACTGTAGATTCTAAGAAAAGCTCATGAAATGAAAGGTGCTGTTCAGCAGTTTTACGAACTTGAGAATGCAATTTAAATGTTGAGAATGCAATGTTGATGTACAACATGAAATCAACACTTATAGAAAAATTGCTTGTAAAAATTCAGATTTAAATCAAGAACATAACTATAAAAATATTTTTATGGAAAAATTTAAAAATTAATTTCAGAATTGCTTAAATAATTTAATATTAGCGTTAATTTTAGGTATTAATTATTGGATTAGTTGTTAGTCATTTTGTTAAGTTTAAAACTGATATGCACAAATCGCCGTCTATTCAACTCAACCGCTTAATTACCTCAAATATG